AATTTTTCATGTGCTGTTAGATTCAGTTTGCCAGTGTTTTATTTAGGATTTTCACAGCAATATTCATCATGGATATTGGCCTGAAGTTTTCTTTAGTTGTGTCTCTGCCAGGTCTTGGTATTAGGATGATGCTGGTCTCATAAAATGAGTTAGGGAGGATTCCCTCTTTTTGTATTGTTTGGAATGGTTACAGAAAAAAATAGTACCAGCTCCCCTTTGTACCTCTGGTAGAATTCAGCTCTGAACCTTTCTGGTCCTGGACATTTTTGGTTGGTAGGCTATTAATTTCTGCCCCAATTTCAGACCTTGTTATTGATCTATTCGGGGATTCATCTACTTCCTGGTTTTTGTCTTGGGAGGGTGTAAGTGTCGAGGAATTTATTGTTTCTTCTAGATCTATTGGTATATTTATCATTCTTCTAGATCGACTGATAGAATCAAAATCCTGAGTGCTAATTTGATTGCACTGTGTTCTGAGAGACTGTTTGTTATGATTTCTGTTCTTTTATATTTGCTTAGGAATGTTTTACTTCCAATTATGTGGTCAATTTTAGAACAAGTGCGATGTGGTACTGAGAAAAATGTATATTCTGTGGATTTGGGGTGGAAAGCTCTGTGGATGTGTATTAGGTCCACTTGATTCATATCTGAATTCAAGACCTGGATATCCTTGTTAATTTTCTGCCTCATTGATCTGTCTAATATTGACAGTGTTATGTGGTCAATTTGTATTTCTTTTGATTTAAGGTGTTTGATCATTTTCAATTGGAGTATTTAAATTGGAATATTTATTATAATATTGGTTTATGAGAACCTATTGTACATTAAGAATACTAACTTCCACATCTTTTAGAGAGTCTCTAACAATATTTTGCCTTTTTATCATTTACTTTTTAAAACAATTTATGGCGTTTTACCATGTGATATTTTAAAACTATATGAACTAAACTGAATCTTCTTCACTATGGTCGCCTTCCTCTGAAAGTTTCCTTTCAAAAATGAAAAATTATAATGCTCAATATGAGGAATGATCCTATTGCAACCATTGTACTAATTTGAAATGATGGATAGTTAACCTACCCTCTGCTGTTTTTCCTTTTATATAGATATATATAAGAGGATAACAGGGTTTGGTATGGTTATCTTGTATCAGTATAATCAAAATCTCCTTTAGAAACTTTACATTTCTTCCTAGAAATTAGATATTTTGGAGGAAATCCTACTAGCCTTAAAATTGAAATCAGACACTTCCTAGAATATGTATTATACCATCTGTCAAGATACAGATTTCATAATTTATTTGTTTAATTTTCATCCCCAACAAAGCTGAATAACTAGAAGGAAAAAAGGCAATTGCATGTTTGAGTTACTGACATTTTTGTCTAGTCCAATTTGGTCACAGTTATTGTGTTAAGAGGTCATATTTAGCACCACTAAAAGAAGGGACAGTTAGTTTGGCTCCATATCTCTGGAGAAACTTTGGTAAATGATGTCAATGGGAATATTTTTGAAAGACAAAGAGGGAGTTTTATGCTGAAACTAATTTGCATACACATACCTATATATTGGTTGCCACTGGAAGGAGTTTGAAACTTTCTTATTCTAAACTGTATTATTGTGTATTGGTAAGTAGGTATTTTAATAAATACATAAATGTTTTCTTATTTAGATATTAATCCATTCCCTGAAATAATCATTTTTTGAATTATACACTGCTGACTAAAATAATCCATGCATTTCCAAATTTGTAACATTTTTAAAATTACCTAAAGTAAGTAACTTGTTCACCTGGAAAGATAATAGTGCCTTGTTAACTCTCAATTATCCATGCTAATAGAAAGCAATCTTCCTGGGGATTTTTTTTTTCACTGCCATAGCAATGTTAGAGGTCAAAAATGAGAAAGTCTGGGGATAGTTTGCAGGAAATGAGATTCTCAAGAAGACTCTAGGGATATGCCTCATGAATTAAGTTTCTTATTTTGCCTTCATGGATAAGAATGAGAAGCAGAATTCTGGACATATTCTCTGATGTCCAACAGATAACTATGGTTTCAGGAGTACAGGGCCTGCTAGCGCAGCTACAGCTGGATAGCTATGACCTGATATTGGGAAGTTGGAACTCAGTGACTTCTTACATTTGGTAAATACCAGTTAAAGTATCTATTCTGTGCATGTACACTCCTGGGTACTAGCGTTACAGGATAAACGAGATAGACATGGTACCTGAAATTCTATTGATGAGACTGAAAAAATTCTAAGTGAAGTGAGTAAAAAATATTTATTTGGGGATAAGTACTAAAAAGAAAATAGGGTGATTTTATACTGTATAATTGCACTGAGGGACAACTTTAGCTAGTAGATAAAGTATCCCATGCAGTGCTGTTGAATTGAGATCTTACTGGAAAGTCATTGGAGAGGTTTAAATAGGGAAGTGAGTTGATGTTGTGTTCATACAAAAATGCTAATCTGGCTACTGTGTGTGAAATGGCTGGAGAGGGCAATGGTGAAAAGAGGCAAGTTACCAGGCTATAGCTTTCCATTGGTCCAAAGAAAATAGATCTAGTGAGAAGAAAGTCAGCAGTTCTTATGGGCCTAATGGGCAATGGCCAGCCAGACCTAATCTACATACCCTCAGGAATAGACAGCTTGAGCCTTTGGGTAAAAATTTGTGGGCACATGTGGTTACAGATGAGAACATGAAGCGGGTTATAGATTTGGTGGAAAATACAATTGGAACAGGAGAAATAAATACAAAGGAGAATGGACTGTCTGGGGTTGTGATGCTGAACTTTGGCTGCACGTGGGAATCATCTGGAATATATATAATTTCTTTCTGAGACAGGAATTCAGTCTATCACTCAGGCTGGAGTCCAGGGGCATGATCACAACTCACTGCCGCCTCAACCTCCCAGGCTCAAATGATCCTCCCACCTCAGCCTCCCAAGCAAGTAGCAGGGACCACAGGCATACACCACAACATCCAGCTAATGTTTTGTGCTTTTTAGAGACAAGGTTTCTCCATGTTGCCCACGCTGGATATTTTTTAAGTACTGATAGCTGACCCTCTTCACCTCACCACCCTCCTTACCATCATCACAATTATAAACACACACACACACACACACACACACACACACACAGTTACACACACACACAGACAGCCCCAAGATTTTGATTTATTTGGTTTGAAGTATGATCTGGACAGTGAGTTCTTAAAAGCTACCCAAGTCATTTCAATCCATGGCTACCTTTCTTTGAGAACCACTGGTTTGGGCAGAGCCCAAAAGAGACCACAGGGGAGAGTAGATAGTGGGGAAGAGAGCAAGCTAAATGGGCATCTAGGTGGTGGTACCCAAAAGAGCATCATCGAGTACTGAAAGTCTTTCAGGACAGCCTTTGGATGTATAGTTCTTAGGAGGAATCCCAATTCCTTATTGTACCAGACCTCCAGAGTCAGGCAAGTATTTGAAATTTTGGATGGGAGATTTCTCCACTTTAAGGGCTTTTACATTTATGTAAATAACACCTTTAAATTCTCTTCTGCCCTTTTAAAATTCTCTGTGTACTTAAAAATGCATTTGTAACTACAGCACAAAAATTAAACTTTCTGCATAAAGACATTTATAGATGCCATTAAATATAAAATTAGTATTGATTTGTAAATACTTAGGTCAAGACTAGTACTAATATAAAAACAAATTATGTTCCTCTATTATATATAAAATACCAGCTAAATTTCATTTTCAGTGAGACTAATATATACTGGGGAAAAGTCATAATCTGTAATTTAGCTTTTTCCAAATTTATAATGCCCATTTTAATCAGTTACAAAGATTACTGTTTATTGTGGAATTTGAAAATGTTGGAACTAAGATGACCATGTTCTAAATATAAAAGTTAATTTGAAACAATTTAAAAGCACACACAAGAAACTGCTCTTTAAATAAAAAAATCAGTAATGCTTGATGTGAAAATATGAAAGTATTACATTCTTAATTTTCAAGCCTATGAAATTACTATGCTTAGATGCTTGCTAGCACACATTTAAATTCTTTTTCTCTTCTTAAATTACTTATGTTTGTTTCTGAGATGAGGTTTGAATAAATAGGTTGATGATGCATTTTCCTCTTCTGGATAGCCTGTGCAGGAGTAATTGACCATGAAAATGCCTTGTAGTGAGGTGGGGACAAAGACAGAGTATCCTTCTGGTGATGTAGTTAGATTTCAGTTCTGCAATGACTAGTTTGCTCTGTTTACTAGTTTATGAAGCAGATTTCGAATTAACACAGCTGTCACTCCCAACTTCCAGGTCTCAGAGATACTCTACATACCTTCCTGCGGTTGGTGAAATTTTTGTTGCAACACATTTATTTTGGTATTCAACATATTCTGACTTCATTGAGTCAAAAAGATCTTAAGATTTAAAAAAATACAGTAAAGATGAATACACAGCACTATTTAAAATTTTATTTTTAATATTTTAAGCATAGTTATTAAGTCGTATTTTCTGGAGTTGGTTTTTTTATCTGAAAATTTTAAACGCTACAAATTCAAACAATAACTGTAGAATACATTCACCAATACATCTATTGATTTAATTTCTAAAGAAAGGAACCCAAAGGCAAGTATATTGAGTTTACTTCCTGATGTGTTTTAACTATTTCCTCCAGTATATCCTCTGTTCTATAAATAGAAAGCCAAAAACAAATAAAGGTTTTTTTCTCTGTAGAAAGGGAGAGTTAGTAGTGTCCTTTCAATATATCTACTTAAATGTTTAAAATTTTAATAACGGGTGAATAATCTTGAGGCTAATGAATATACTAAAATGTAGTAATTCCTTGAGCAAGGAGATATATACTGTAAATATTTTATCATGGAATTCATTTAAAATTTAAAAAATGCTGCCTACTCACTATTTTTAGCTCAATAAATCTATTTTTATTAGAATCCATGACTTCTGTCTTTCTAATGAAAATCTTTCAATGACATTGATTTTTCTTTTATATTTTCTATATAGAATATGGAAAAAAGGAGAATCTTAAAATTCCTAACATTATTCTCATTTTGGATGCCATCATACAACATAATTTTAAAATCTTCACTATTTTAATAAAAAACTAATATAATCATGTTTATCTGACAGACCCATTGCTTTCTTCATTATAATCAAATAGGAAAAGAGGAAATGTATGGTGTTTTGAGAATGCATGCAGGTTCTCTCTTTTTGTTTCTTCTTTTGAAGTGTGAATATGTTAATAAAATATTGACTAATGCTTGAAAAGCTCGAAGAAAGGACCAGTGGTGGAGTCCAAGGACAAGAAGAGATGAGACATTTTTTTCTTTTCCTTTTGGTTTCAGAGGGACGAAGCTATATAAATTGGATTGGAAATTAATATCCAGCTTCAGTCAGAGAATGAGAAATAGCTTGAAAGTAAAATTATTTCTGATGTCACCTGAAATTTACTTTTGATCAAAAACATCTTTCTAGAAATAGAAGGGCAATTGTCATCACAGGTGAAGCTGGGGTATCTTTCCTTTGGCCTGAGTATGAATACCAAAGTTATAGAAAAAAAGTTCTCAATGAAGACCTCCTCAAGTTGCTATACATTTGGAAATTCTGTGAAAGAGATGGTGCCTTACTCTGGAAATTGGTTATTAACATTATATATCTCTACTGAGAAATATAACAGACATGTATAGCTGCTCCTCAGAATCACTAAATACTGTAAAGGCATTACCACCCCTCACTGAGCACTCACTGGCTATTGACTTGCTAAACTGGTCTTTAGTTTGCCAATGCTTAGCTTCCTTCTGTTCAGTAGTTCAAGATCCTGGTGTTGCACAGAAGCTCCATTTCATACTTTTATGGCATGGAAAAGCATTACCTGACTGCTTCCTGGTTCAGATAGTGATGGGTGTCTCAAGCAACCTGGCGTTATTATTATCACCTTCAATTCCCAGGATATTTTACCACAAACCTTACCTCACACAAGGTTCATAATTCAGAGCCTGAATTAAGTAACCATTTCCTGTTACACACACACACACTCTCTCTCACACACACACACACACACACACACACACACTGACCAGAGTCTTTTCATAGACTCCATTCTCCTTTAATCTGACTCAGTTCTATTCTCCATAGTATCCTCTCATCCCTTCTCCCCTTACCCCGCTGTTCTAAATAAAATTGCCCTGTGTAGACACTGAGTATATACATATGTCTTACAAATCAAGATACTTAACTTTTTTCTAGCTCCCCATTTCTGTGGAAAGTTATCATTCAGGTTTAGGTTTGATGAAATTACTCCTATCATTAGAGTCAGATATGACCTGTAGTTATTTACCTACTCTATAGCCACCAATGGTGCCATTTACTCCATGGGTGAAAATAGGCCTCAAACAAATCAGACAATACTCTTGACTTGTGTTGATTCCATCTCTAATGTTGGGATTAATTTTCATTCTTAATTTAATCTGATTTCATCAATAAAGAGATTCAAAATAATTCTAGGGCAATAGGGTGCCCTTAGTAAATTATTGCAGACTTATACACTGGAAAATGTTAGAAGTTTACAAGGTCTTGTTTTACATATCAAGTATGAACTGAAATCAAGATTTTCATGTTTATTTCAATAATTTCCCAGCTGTGTAATGAGGAAATAAAAATATGATTCTTTCTTTGGACTATTTGGGGAGTTTATTATAATGGGCCAATTTTGTTTTGTATAAAATAAAATTAGCTCTTTTCTAAATTTGTTTTATAAAAATATCTCCATACCACTCTTAGATTTATTACAGATTTAGACAAACAAAATTAAGTCTAAAGCTTTTAGTATAAGGACTTGAGCATTCATGTCTGTACTGAGATTATTCGTTGTATCTAGAAGACTATAGCAACCCCATAGCAGCTATAAAAGCCACTGTTTCTGGGAGATAATGAATTGTTGGATCAGGGCAGAAGTGATTTCAGCAATTTGTTCCATTACCAGAAGTCAGAGCTTTTAAAAGCTCTTTATGTTTGCTTCTTTTTGAAGGTCTACAACCCAGGGCCTTCTGCTTTGGAAGAGGCTGGAGTGTTTCTGCTGCAGAAACCTAGTATGTCTTCCATGTTCATGATAAAGCAGCACATGCAAAGTGAAACTCACACCAGCACATGTGGACTTGTCCCTGGGATGCTACAAAAACCAAATTATAAAGACTACATTCTAGAATAATATCAAAAGCACAGTACCTGGGGTGAGTCAGTGAGACCATCCCGTTTCTTCTATCACGGACCATCTATATCTGGCTGTGTTCAGATTTGGTGCCACATAAGGACTGATAAATTAGTGCCTGCCTAGAGGAAGAAACTACACTTATTATCTTCCATCCATGTCTTATAATAGAGGAACAATTAAATTAGAAAACTTGAGCTAGAAAATATATTTAGAAGTAGAATAAATTTTCCCATAAAACTTAACAACAACAATAATAATAAAGATGAATGCTTATAGTCATTAAGACTTTTAGGTGTATAATTTCTAATCATCACAAAAATTCTATAAAATAAATGTTATTTCTACTTTCAGATAGAGGATTACTACTCATTGATACTATATAATTTATCCAAGGTCACACTGCTAGAATTGTACCAGTAACTTGGCAATAAGTTGCTAGTTATCTCAGCCTATAAAATGTGGGGTATATGGACATTAAGATTATAAATTAGCTTTGGCATAATCAAATTGTTTAACTTGTAAACTGGATCATGTTGTGCATCCTTTTGTAGTTTAGGATGATGAAGACATTGGACCTTATATGTAAATTGCCACATTTAGAATCATAGGCACACAACATAGAATTCAGAACTAGTGAATTCTCAGTCATTAATCTAGATTGCTACATGCGACTCTATATCTTCATCTATAAAAATGGATAATAGAAGTAACTGTTTCATAATCTCTTTGCCATGCATTAAATGAGATAAGAAGAGCAACAAATACCTTACATGTAATAGTCATTAATAAATCTGAGTTATTATCTAATTATTAAAGAGAATTTAGAACATTCATAAAAGCAAAATGAAGAAATAAATCACTCCTTGCCTATTACCAAAACACAATGTTATGAAGGACTTGTAATATTACCTTTAAAATAATTTTAGAAGGCTCATTTAATCTAATTAAATTTATTTATTTAGAGTCCCGCTCTGTCACACAGTACAGGGGAAGATCAGAGCGCACTGCAGCTTCAAAGTCCTGGGCTCAAGTAGTCCTCCTGCCTCAGCCTCCTGAGTAGCTAGGAACTCAGGAGCATGTCTAGCTAGAAAGCTTCTTTTCAAAGATCACATATTTGCAGAGTTGTAATCATAGTCACAGATACAGTTTACTACCCCAATTGATAATGCTACCTGAGCATTTTTCATTTTCTTACATAATCTTCCAAAACATCCATTTTATCTACTACAAAATATTAATTTGAATAAAGCATTTTTTGCTCAATTTGTGGAGCTGAGCTTTTAGACTGGTTTTAACATTTCAATTTGATATATAATGCAGCTAAAGAGCTTTGCGCAAGTGGTTTCTGGATTTAGGATGTAGTTTTTCCTTGACCCCATATCAACTTGTGGTAATTGATCTTAAGGCTTCTGTTTGTGTGGTTTTTAAAAGAATATCTCTCCAGTCAGTTTTGGTTCCACTTACTATTTAGTAAAATCTTTTCCAGTGTTCTAGCCTGTCTCAGCTCTGCCAAGGACAAATAAAGGGAAGAGGTTTTTCTTCCTTGGGATAGACTTTTACAAACCTTTGGCTTTTTGGGATTTTATTTAACATAAAGGATGCTCATCAAAAATTATTTTTCGTGCTTTTAAGCAAACTCTGATGCAGTGAAAGTCATTGTTATTTGCAGGCAGTGGAGGAATATCGCTTATGTCTATATGTATTTTGGCAGCCAGACTTTAAGGATATTAATAACACATAGGTAATACCACTTAAAACCATAAGGGTATTAATATGACATTTAATCTTATTTTGGTTTTTAAATCTAGTTTATTGGCATTTTTTAAAGTTATAATTCAACATGGGGAGAGCAAGATGGCCTATCCCATGCCACTGGACAGAACACCATATTTAACAACTACGTAAATCTTATGAAGGTTTTTTTTTCGGCAAAGAAACCAAAAATCAGGTGTGCATTCACAGTACCTGGTTTTAACTTTATGTGTCTGAAAGCAGCATTGAAGAGGTTAGAAAAGACATTCTTGAATTCAGGATGCCACCCCTCTCCCATCATCTCCCAGTAAAAGCCATGTGGCATGGAGAAAGAATCTGTGTGCTAGGGAGAAGGAGAGTACAGTGATTGTGAGACACTGCCTTGAACTCAGTGCTGCTCTGTCACAGCTGAAAGCAAAACTGGACTGAACTCAGCCATCACCCATCCACATAGGGAAGATTTAGATGAGCCCTAGCCAGAGGGGAACCACCTATCTCAGCAGTCTGAATATGAGTTCCAGCAAGCCCTGCCACTGTGGGCTAAAGTGCTTCAGGACCTTAAATACACTTGAAAGGCAGTCTAGGCCACAAAGACTACAACCCCTGGACATGTCCTAGTGCTGAGATGGGCTTGGAGCCACTGGACTTGGGGGCATGCTGCCTACTGAGACACAAACGGGTGGCTAAGGCAGTGCTTGCGCTACCCCTCCCTGAACCCCAGGCAACACAGCTGCTGGCTCCAAAAAACAACTCTTCCTTCCCCTTGAGGAGAGGAGAAAGAAGGGTAAAGAGGACTTTGTCTTGCATCTTGGATAACAGCTCAGGCACAGTAGGATTGGGCACCAGGCAGAGTCATGATGCCACATTCTAGGTCCTACCTTTCAGAAAATATTTCTAGACACATCCTGGGCCAGAAGGGAACCTGCTGCCATAAAGGAAAGGACCTAGTCCTTGCAAAATACAACATCTACTGAAGAAGAGCCCTTGGGCCTTGAATAACCAGCAGCAATATCCAAGTAGTATGCCATGGACCTTGGGTGAGACTCTGAGACTTTCTGGCTCCAGGTGAGACTCAGCCTATTCCCAGCTGTGGTGGCTATAGTGGGAGACTTCTTCTGCTTGAGAAAAGCTGAAGAAAAATAAAGCAGTCTTTGCCTTGTACAATAGCTACTAAATTAGCCACAGTTGGGGAGGGTACCAACTGGGCCCTTAGAGTCACCAGTTCCAGGCCTTGATTCTTGGATGGCATTACTGGACCTGCCCTGGGCCAGAAGGAAGTCCACTGCCCTGAAGAGAGAGTCGCAGACATGGCAGCATTTACCACAAATGGACTGAAGAGGCCTTGCACCTGAAGTGAACCTCGGTAGTCTGGCAATACCCGTTATGGACCTGTAGTGGTGGTGGCCATGGGTTAAGGCTCCTCTGCCTGTGGAAAGAGGAGGGAGGAGTAGAGAACTGCATCTCATAGTTTAAGTGCCAGCTCAGCTACAGGAAAATAGAGCACCAGTAGAGCACCAGGTAGACTTCTAATATTTTTCACTTCAGTCCCTGGCTCCTGGAAAGACCCACTTGGGGTATGGGGAAATTCACCACCATAAAGGGAAGGACATAAGCGTAGCTGGCTTTTCCAACCACTGATTGTAGAGCCCTAGGGCCTTGAACATAAGTGGCAGCCAGGTAGTGGTTACAGTGGGCCTTGGGGGAGTCCCAGTGCTATGCTGGCTTCAGGTTGGACTCACAGCAGTCCCATTATTGGGAGTCATGGGGGTGCTTATGTCATGCCATCCCAGCTTCAGGCAGTTCAGTACAGACAAAGAGCCTCCTTTGTTTGGAAGAAAATTAGGGAGAGGAACTAGAGTCTCTGCCTGGTAATCCAAAGAATTCTTGTGGATATTTTCCAAGATCACCAAGGTGGTACCTCTACAAGTCAACAACAACTACAGCATTACCGGCCTTGAAATGTGCTCTAATGCAGATATGGCTTAGCTCACAATACCCAATTGCTTTTTAATACCTGGAAAGCCTTCCCAAGAAGGAAGGTACAAACAAGCCCAGACTGTGAAGACTATAGTAAACACCTACCTCTTCAATGCCCAGAGACCAATGAACATGCACAAGCATTGAGACCATCCAGGAAATCATGACCTCACCAAATGAATGAAATAAGGCACTGGGGACGAATCCTGGAGAGACAGAGATATATGACCTTTTAGACAGAAAATTCAAAATAGCAAATATTATTAGAGCTAAAGAGAGAGATAGATCCCAATACAATAATAGGTGGAGACTTCACCCCACTTTCAGCATTGGATGGATAGATCTTCCAGAGGAAAAATCCACAAAGAAACATTGGATGTAATCTGTTCCATAGACCAAATGGACCTAACAGATATTTATAATGCATTTTGTCCAAAGACTGCAGAATATACATTCTTTACCTCAGCACATGGATCATTCTCAGGAGTAGCCAATATGTTAGGACACCCAACAAGTCATAAAACATTTCAAAACAAAACAAAACAAAACAAAATAATAGCAAGCATTTTATGTGAACACAATGAAATATAACTAGAGGAATTTTGGAAACTATACAAACAAATGGATGTTAAACAGTATGCTCCTGAATAACAAGTAGTTCAATGAAAAAAGAAAAAAACTGAAAAATTTACTGAAACAATGAATGATGGAAACATAACATACCAAAATCTATGAGATACAGTGAAAGCACTACTAAAAGGGAAGTTTATAGCTATGGTACCTATATCAAGACAGAAGAAAAACTCCAAATGAACAATGATGCATCTTAAAAAACTAGAAAAGCAAGAGCAAACCAAACCCAAAATGAACTGAAGAAAAGAAATAATAATGATCAGAGGAGAAACAAATGAAATTGAAATAAAGAAAACAGTACAATGGGTCAACCAAACAAAAAGTTGTTTTATTGGAAAATTAAACAAAGCTGACAAAGCTTTAGCCAGACTAAGAAAAAAAGAGAGAAGACCTAAATAAATGAATTAGGAGATGAAAAAAGAGGCATTGCAAGTGATAGCATAGAAACTAAAGGGATCCTTAGTGCTATTATGATCAACTTTGTCCCAATAAATTGGAAAAATTTAGAAAAAATAGTATAAATTCCTAGACACATACAGTCTACCAAGATTGAGCCACAAGGAACCCCAAAACCAGAACTTTTTATTAAGGCTTTAAGTTGTTGCTATTGAACATATCAGTAACAAGTGATGACATTAAAGCCACAGTGAAAAGTTTCCCAGCAAAGAAAAGCGTGGGGCCCAACGGCATCATTGCTGAGTTCTACCAAACATTTAAAGAAAATTTAATACCAATTCTACTCAAACTAATTAAAAAAATAGCAGAGAAGGAAATACTGCCAAACTCATTCTAGGAGGCCAATATTACACTGAACAACATTGGAAGAATCACATTATCTGACTTCAAATTATACTACAGAACTATAGTAACTATGACGGCATGGTACTGGCATAAAAATAGAAAAGAATGTAGAACATAAAAATAAACCCAGACATCTATAGTGAACTCATTTTTAACAAAAGTGTGAAGAACATATATTGGAGAAAGGACAGTCTCTTCAATCAGTGGTACAGGGAAATCTGAATATTCATATGCCAAAGAATGAAGCTAGACTCCTATGTTTTGCAATATATGAAAATACAATCAAAATGCATTACACACTTACATCTAAGACCTCAAGCCATAAAACTGAAAGAAAACATTGGAGAAATGCCCAGGATATTGGAGATGTCAAAGATTTCTTGAGTAATATCCAACAAGTAGAGGCGTTCAAAGCAAAAATGGACAAATTGAATCATATCAAGTTAAAAAGCTTCTGCAGAGCAAAGGAAGTAATCAAAAAGTGGCAAAACAACCTACAGAGTGGGAGAAAGTATTGGCAATTTATACATCTGACAAGAGATTAATAACCAGAATATGTAAGGAACTCAACTCAATGGAAAAAACTATTTCATTTTTAAAATGGGCGAAATATCTGAATAGACACTTCTCTAAAGCAGACAAATAAATGACAAACAGGTATATGGAAAGGTGCTCAATACCACTGATCATCAGAGAAATGCAAATCAAAACTACAATAAGATATCATCTCACCAGTTAAAATTCCCTTTATCCAAAAGACAGGCAATAACAGATGCTGGCAGAGATATGGAGAAAAGGGAATGCTTATACACTATTGGTAGGAATGTACATTTGTAGAACCACTATGGAGAACAGTTTGGAGCTCCTTAAAAAACTAAAATTAAAGCTACATATTCTGCAGTGATCTCCAGTAATTCTACTCCTAGATATATATTCAAAGAAAAAGAAATCAGTATACAAAAGAGATATCTACATGCCTGTGTTTATTACAACACTACTTACAATAGCCAAGATTTGGAAGCAGCCTAACTGTCCATCAACAGATGAGTGGATAAAGAACATGTGTCACCTATACACCATGGAGTACTATTCAGCCATAAAAAGAGAATGAGATCCTGTTATTTACAGCACGGATGAAACTGGAGATTATTAGGTTAAGTGAAATAAGGCAGGCACAAAAAAATAAGCTTCACATTTTCTCACATATTTCTGGGACCTAAAAATTTTAACAATTGAACTCATGGAGGTAGAAAGCAGAAGTATAGTTCACTAGAAACTAGAGAGAGCAGTGAGTTGGGGGTGGGGGATGAGGATGGTTAATGGGTACAAAAAAAGAAAACAAGTGGACATCCTCCACCTTTCAATCTGATTTTCTCTTTACCATGCAGACATGTGGATTAGGAGCCAGGGGCCTCCAAGGCCAGTGCTCTAGCATGTGGCATGGCATCTATGTTAATCAAACATCTCCAATGCCTTCAGAGTCCACAACTACCATTCATGTATTTATCAATTGTTAGAAAGAATGAATAAGACCTAGTATTTGCTAGCAGAAAGGGGTGACTATAGTAAAAAATAATTTGTTTGTACATTTTAAAATAAATAAAATAGTATAATTGAATAGGTTTTAACACAAATGATAAATTCTTGAGATAATGGATACCCTATTTACCCTCATGTGATTATTACACATTGCATGTCTATATCAAAATCTCTCTTGTAACCAACAAAATATATACCTACTGTGTAACCACAGAAATTAAAAATAAAAATAATTAATTTAGAAAGTTACAATTATGTTATTTAGTACACTGGCAGTTGCCCCAGTATTATTTACACATTTAATTAGCATATTTTCTATATTCTCAACCATGTTAATAAGTAAATTATAGTAATTAGACTAAAGTATAAAACCGTAAAGTACACCTACTTGGGAGGTCCCCTGCCATTGTAAGCTGCTAGCCAATGTTTATTAACCTTGCAATAAAGATTACACAGGAAAATTTATGGAATATCTTACTGAAATAAAAATAAAACAATATTTGTCACATTTATGATCTATGAATACAATTAGGCTATCAAAATGGAGATGGGATTAGATTGATCTAATATCACTTAATGAAACAATGACGGTTTTGAGTAGCTAAAATTCTCTCTTCCAAGTATTCACAAACCCTCTTATTAATTTTGTATTTTTTCTTTATTATTCTATCTTACCTCTTTTCAACATTGACTTGTGGTACATTTTAAAAATTATCTCATTATGTAACTTCTAGGAATGTTACCATAATGATTTGATATATAGTATTTAATCTGGACAGATATCATAAAGAAAATTAGTCTGGAATTATGTTTTGAGGAGGCAAAGGCATTTGGTTTGTTAAGCAGTCAGAAAAAGATATTTCAGGGTGAAAAATACAGATTTGGCTAAGTGCAGGCATGTGGATGAACGCCTTATTTTTAAGAAACTGCTGCATATATCTTTTTCTTTAGTATTCATCAAAATTTTTAAATTAATGGTGGCAAAAGCAACCAGTAGTTAATATCTAATTATGCCAACAACTTCCATTCTATTATCAGTTTAGTTCTTTAAACAACTTTACAAGTGAAGAAAATATCTTACCTCATTTTTCAGATGAGAAAATGGAAGTAGAGGTAGACTAAACTATTTGCTGGTGTCAGAGAAGTAGTTGATACCAGAAACAGAATGGAAAACTACTTCTGACTCCCTGCATGACACTTTTTTGCTACAAAACAATATCCAGTTGTTTGTCTTCTGAAATACGATCATGAATCCTCATTTTTCTTCTTGTAGAGATGTATCTGTGTGTGCTTATTTATTCATTTATTTATTTTGGGTTTAGGTATTGTTTGGTTTTCAGTACTTCTTGAGGTTTTGTTTAATGAAATGTTTAGCGAAGTAGGATAAGCACTGTACTGCCAACCTCCCAGGAGGCTATTGATCTGATTAGCACTTAAAGAAACAGAGGCTAACAGAACAAAAAAACAAATGAACTTTAAAACTTCATTGTTGTTACCTTCAAACGCCATTAATATTTTTAAGGTTATTTTAATCTTTCCCTAAGGGTTTTTCTTTTCTCCATTTTGCATCAAGGTAACATATTTTAGCTTTTTGTTTTTGTTGCTCCTTAGAACTCTGAGCAGGAAGTAAATGTTTACTTATATTCCTGCTCTATGTGAGTGTACATGGATTATTATTTAATAAAATATTTTGCAATGTGTCTGTTTGGATGTATGTGTAGTAACAATCCTATGTTGTACTGGTTTGTTTCAAATTGAAAAAATATTGAAACAGTCCCTGTTGCCTTTAAATATTTTATTCTTCCTACAAGTGTGGTCATTTTCTAATCACATGCAGTTTGAATAAGACTGAATATAACTGGGGTGAGAAGGTCAGTATTTTTCTTTATACTACTTTACAGCTCTAGCCATTTAGCAGTCTTGTATGAAAGAGACTGCTCATCCAGCAACAAAACACAGAAGTAGAACTGTCAAGTCTACTTTTCCTGGTAGGGAATGGATTTTCTAATTAAACCTAACTTTAATCATGAAAACTGATGTTTAAACTAACTTAACTTAAACTAACTTAAAAGGTGTGTCATGAAGTTGTGTCAATTCTGAAAAAAGGTAAGATTCATCTGTATTTTTTCCTTTTGTGCTCATATATGTGTTTCACAGGGCCAATGTATCCTACTTATTTGTCGCATGCTGTCCAACAGAAAGTGATACTGTTTTCATGGACTCTAATGAGAATGACATATCCTGGAATTGTGCATTGTATAACCCATTCAACTGTGCAACTGTCCATGTAGCTCTGCATTGTGTGTATCATAAAAATGAGTTTTCTGATGTTACCTGATGATTAAAGCATTTAGATTTTTGTAAAAGTTGAAGGTATTTCTCTATTATTGGGAGAGAAGGAGTTACAGAAATAAAAATTCCATTTGTATAATAATTGGGCTTAGATAGGCATAATGTAATTTTTTTCTTTAATTTTTACAACTTTTAAATATGGATTCTCAGGAATAATATAGAAATCTGTAATGTTCCCATATGAACAAGGTGTAGCTTTGTATTTCCTAAAGCATATTATGATAGGTAGTACTGATTTGTGGATAGTATTGTGCACAGCACAACCTTTTTCTTCCTGCAGATTGTATGTAGCTCAGCGAGAGAGGATAAACTGGTAAATAGGAGAAATTACAACCGTTTTTCTAACTGAACTTTAAAATTAGTTTAAAGAACTGACTAGTTTAGACATATTGATAGGACAGAAAATACTCTATCATGATGCTCAAAACAGATCTTCTATGGAAACTAAAAAGAAACTAGATTTCAAGATAGATGCCCCACTAAGAAGTCTTAGTGAAACATTGAAAGAAAAAAGCACTTCTGAGGATGCTTAATATGCACCAATATCAGTAACTGGAGCAACACTAGCATCAACCAGAAAAGCTCTACCTAACATGATTTATAAGCAATCCATTATTCTGTATGTGTGAAAAAGCAAGAGGCAAAATCTCAGGTTGCCAAAAAATTGTGTAATCATGTGTGCCTCAGATTTCATATCTCTAATATGACAGGGTAAACAAAATCAACCTGAGTTGACATGATTATATGCAATTACAATACAATTTTCCCAGAAGACTATAATTTATTATATTTCCTTTTCATATATATCTCTTTTTATTATTAGACTTTAAGTTCTGGGGTACGTGTGCAGGACATACAGGTTTGTTACATAGGTATACACATGCTATGGTGGTTTGCTGCATCCATCCCCCCCAGTTACCTATGTTAGGTATTTCTCCTAATACTATAATTACCAAATCCCCCCACCCCTTGCTATACCTCCCCTAGCCCCCTACCCCATGACAGGCCCCAGTGTGTGATGGTGTGATGCTCCCCTCCCTGTGTCCATGTGTTCTCATTGTTTAGTACCCACTTATGAATGAGAACATGTGGTGTTTGGTTTTCTGTTCTTCTGTTAAGTAGCTGAGAATGATGGTTTTCAGCTTCATCCATGTCCTTGCAAAGGACATGAACTCATCCTTTTTTATGGCTGCATAGTATTTTATGGTGTATATGTACCATGTTTTCTTTATCCAGTCTATCATTGATGGACATTTGGATTGATACCAAGTCTTTGCTATTGTAAACAGTGCCACAATAAACATATGTGTGCATGTGTCTTTATAATAGAATGATTTATAATCCTTTGGGTATATACCCAGAAATGGGATTGCTGGATCAAATGGTATTTCTGGTTCTAAATCCTTGAGAAATCAACCACTGTCTTCCACAGTGGTTGAAATAATTTACACTCCCACCAACAGTGTAAAAGTGTTATTTCTCCACATCTTCTCCAGCATCTGTTGTTTCCTGATTTTTTAATGATCACCATTCTATCTAGCATGAGATGGTACCTCAATGTGGTTTTGATTTGCATTTCTCAAATGAACAGTGATGATGAGCTTTTTTTCATATGTTTGTTGGCAGCATAAATGTCTTCTTTTAAAAAGTGTTCATATCCTTTGTCCACTTTTTGATGGGGTTGTTTTTTTCTTGTAAATTTTTTTTTAAGTTCTTTGAAGATTCTGGGTATTAGCCCTTTGTCAGATGGGTAGATTGCAAAAAATTTTTCCCACTCTTTTGGTTTCCAGTTCACTCTAATGACAGTTGATTTTGCTGTGAAGAAGCTCTTAAGTTTAATTAGATTCCATTTGTCTATTTTGGCTTTTGTTGACATTGCTTTTGGTGTTTTATTCAGGAAGCCTTGCCTATACTTATGTCCTGAATTGTATTGCCTAGGTTTTCCTCTAGGGTTTTTATGGTGTTAGGTCTTATGTTTAAATCTATAATTCATCTGGAGTTAATATTTGTGTAAGGTGTAAGGAAGGGATCCAGTTTCATCTTTCTGCATATGGCTAGCCAGTTTTCCCAACACCATTTATTAAATAGAGAATCCATTCCCTATTTTCTTGTTTTCTCAAAGATCAGATGGTTGTACTCGCAGATGTGTGGCATTATTTCTGAGGCCTTTGTTCTGTTCTGTTGGTCTATGTTTCTGTTTTGATACCAGTACCATGCTGTTTTGGTTACTGTAGCCTTTTGGTATAGTTTGAAGTCAGGTAGCATGAAGTCTTTAGCTTTGTGGGGTATTTTTGTTGTTGTTGTTTGTTTGTTCTTTGCTTAGGATTATTTTGGTTATGTGGGCTCTTTTTTTGTTCCATATGAAGTTTAACCTGTTTTTTTTCCAATTGTGTGAAGAAAGTCAATGGTAGCTTGATGGGGATATCATTGAATCTATAAATTACTTTGGGCATTATTGCCATTTTCATGATATTGATTCTTCCTAACCATGAGCATGGAATGTTTTTTCTCTCTGTTTGTGTCCTCTCTTATTTCCTTGAGCAGTGGTTTGTAGTTCTCCTTTAAGAGGTCCTTCACATCCCTTGTTAGTTGTACTCCTAGGTATTTTATTCTCTTTGTAGCAATTGTGAATGGGAGTTCACTCATGATGTGGCTCTCTGTTATTGATGTATAGGCGTGCTTGTGATTTTTGCACATTGATTTTGTATCCTGAAACTTTTCTGAGGTTGCTTATTACCTTAAGGAGATTTTGGGCTGAGCCAATAGGGTCTTCTAAATAAACAATTATGTCATCTGCAAATAGAGACAATTTGACTTCCTCTTTTCCTAATTGAATACTTTTATTTCTTTTTCTTGCCTAATTACTGTGGCCAAAACTTCCAAAACTATTTTGAAGAGGAGTGGTGAGAGAGGACATCCTTGTCTTGTGCCAGTTTTCAAAGGGAATGCTTCCAGTTTTTGCCCATTCAGTATGATATTGGCTATGGATTTGTTATAGATAGCTCTTATTATTTTGAGATGCATTCCATCAATACCTAGTTTATTGAGAGTGTTTAGAATAAAGAGCCGTTGAATTTTGTCAAAGGCCTTCTCTGCATCTATTGAGATAATCATGTGGTTTTTGTCTTTGGTTCTGTTTATGTGATTGATTACGTTTATACATTTGCATATGTTGAACAAGCCTTGCATCCCAGGGGTGAACCTGACTCAATTGTGGTGGATAAGTTTTGATGTGCTGTTGCATTCAGTTTGCCAGTATTTCATTGAGGATTTTCACGTCAATGTTTATCATGGATATTGGCCTGAAATTTTCTTCTTTAGTTGTGTCTTTGCCAGGTTTTGGTATCAGGATGATGTTGGTCTCATAAAATGAGTAGTTAGGGAGGATATTCCCTCTTTTTGTATTGTTTGAAATAATTTCAGAAGGAATGGTACCAGCTCCTCTTTGTACCTCTGGTAGAATTCAGTTGTGAACCCATCTGGTCCTGGATGTTTTTTTGGTTGGTAGGCTATTAATTGCTGCCTCAATTTCATGCCTTGTTATTGGTCTATTCAGGGATTCAACTTCTTCCTGGTTTAGTCTTGGGAGGGTGTAAGTGTCCAGGAATTTATCCATTTCTTCTTGATTTACTGGTTTATTTGCATAGGTGTTTGCAGGAGTCTCTGATGCTAGTTTGTATTTCTGTGAGATTGATGGTGATATTTCCTTTATCATTTTTTATTAGATCTATTTGATTCTTCTCTTTTCTTTTTTATTAGTCTCACTAGCAATCTATATATTTTTTATTAGTCTAGCTAGCAACATATATATAAATAAACAAACATATATATATATATGTTTTTTTTTTCAAAAAACCAGCTTATGGATTTATTAATTATTTGAAGAGTTTTTTGTGTGTCTCTATCTCCTTCAATTCTCCTCTGATGTTACTTCTCTCTTATCTTCTGCTAGCTTTTTAATTTGCTGATATTGGTCCTCTAGTTCTTCTAATTTTAATGTTAGAATGTGGATTTTAGATCTTTCTTCACATCTCTTATGGG